TGTCCCGTACCGTGCCTGCCTCTCTGTCCCATGGCAAAAGATGGGTTCACAGCAGAGGGACGCAGAGCAATAATGCAGTGTTTGCAGGGTGGATGAAGAGGCAAACCTGTGGTCTTCCCACTACCCAGCTGCTGTCCTTATCCCCAGCATCCAGTGGTTCCCAGGCACCACTCCCTCAGGTGAACATCATGCCTGGACTCTTCTTTCCTTCGAGGATTTCATAGCTGATGTGGAGCGGATGTGATGAAGGTTCTCTGTGGACTTCAGTCAGAACAGAGCATCCCCTCCCTCTCACGCCATGTGATGGTGAGACCAGACTGATGCCCTTTCACAAGGACTGGGTCTCTCAGAAGGCCTGTGATTATTTCCCAAGAGAATGTATAAAACCATAGTAGTTTCAGAAATTAGAATTAAAGAAAGACAGAAGCTGCCCCAGTTAATGCCTCCAAGCAGCTTCCAGTATAATCCCAAATTTGGCTTATTTCAACTCCCAGGGAACAGCAGGTAAGTTTCCAGAAAGGGGAAAAAGCCTTGCTTCTTTGAAGAATGTTGTCTAAATTAGACACAGTTTAATTAGTTTTGACACCTTGGCAAAGAAGCAGTATCTCACATTTTTCATTCATCCTTACCGCCAGTAACATTTGTGGTAACATTATAAAATGAGCAAACAAGAAAGAGACAGCTGAAACTTTATTTTTAATAGAAAGGGTTAAATCTGAAGTAGGCTAAAAAGGTTCCCAAAGCAAGTATTTCCAAGCACAGAAGCTAACATCGTGTTTCTTTCCTGCATTGCCAAAGAAGGGGCCGAAGGATACCTCAAGGGGTTACCTAGTCCATGCCAGTCATCTGTGAAAGAGCTTTGCTTAACTTGCTATGGGTATCTCCCCATTTTCTGATGCCATACTTGAGGCACTCCCTTTTGGCACTGAGCACAAAGACAACCTGGAGAGCATCCCCTCAAGAAAGGTCTCCCTGATTTCTGCAAACACCTTGGTTTTCAGGAAAGCACTGAATCTTCGGGATTGCGAGCACGTGTTTTCTGTTCGCCCACGCCAATGCTCTTGACAGGTCTGACATGTGCCTGCGAGCGCAGCGAAGGTTTACTGCCGCGTTTTGCGGAGCCGAGCACCGCAAGAAGGTCTTGGAGGATGCACTCGGAGCCCCTGCGAACAGCTACGGGGCTCTGCTGCTCTCTGCTGGGAAATGCGGGCAAGAGGCGGTACTGGGGGAAGAGCTGGGTTGACCAGCATGCTCTGGCTTGGTCTCCGCACACAAACACTCAGAGCCGCCTGTACCGAAGCAGAGACCTGGGTGCAGTCTCCTGCTCAACGTCGCAGTCGGAAGCGGGTCCACATCAAAGGCTGCTGGTGTAGAAGCAGGCTGGGTGCAAGTCAGCTGCCCCAGCCCGCCCCTCTACCCCTCACATCTCAGCCTGCTCTACCTCATGCAGGAGCCAGCTTTCTCTGCATTTGTTCTGTCACACTTACACTTGCTCTCCTCTCAGCCTGTAATGCAGTTACTTCCTCAAAGCTCCTCTGGATGGAGGGCAGAGCAATCACCCCACCGTACATGTGAGGAACCGACATGCGGGGCAACCCCGCGACCCACCCAGAGTCACAGGTCAGCACATGGATGAGCAGAGATGTCTCTCCAAGGACCCCAGCCTGTTCCTTGCAGCCTGTGTTTTTGATCATTGCTCCATGCCGCAAAGCTGCTCTTTGCTCTCCAGACCTCAGGAAGGCCTTAACTACATCTGGATGCAACTGTGCAAAACCAGAGAGTCTCAGAGCCGCAGCGTGAAAGGAAGCACAGGGCCACGTCCTCGGGTATCGGCTGGGCTGTGGTATCACTGTAGCAGGTGAGCTCACCACTCCGGCCAGCAACCTCAGCCTGGGAGAAAGCCCGAGCCCTGACAGCAGCTCCAGCACGAAGGAAGGGAACAAATTCCCCAGCCTGGTGCTGACTGGGGCTCTCTGCCCCTTTAAGCAATGATATTTAATTTTCCAATGTGTTTCATCTCAGACATCTCATTATGATTTTCAAGTACCGGATGAGGTGATAGGAGTTTAAGATGGGCATTTTCAGGATTTGGCTATTATATATAAATATTTACAGCTCAATAAAATAAGAAGAAATATTCAAAGTGAACAGACTGTGGAAAGTGATTTGTTCCAACTCTTCACTGCAGACTTGCAAGAAACCAATCAAAGAGGCTCAGGAGTGGTTTGAGTGTAATTTATTAACCCAAAAGGGGCCGCATTGTTAACCAACATTATTTATAGTGAACAGCTCAACCTTCTCTACTGAACAACTGTGATACTGCAGGGACAAATGCAATGAGTTACTACACAGACAGGACAAAACCAGCAGCAGATCTTTGTTACAGCTGTTAGAAAAAGTGTCCCCAGGAGACAGACACTGAATCTCTAATGGCTATCTTATTTCTCTGACAATTTATTTAAGTTTTAACTTAACAGCAGGAATGATAGCCACAGTTACACAGTGACTCCCAATAAAGGAGCGTATTGCTGATCTGCAGCTGGTGTTTTCTTATTTATTTCAAAGTCTTTAAGTTCCAGACTTAGCATATGGTGCCATATAAATAATGATATAATAATACGTTTTTGCTTTCCATGTGCCTGGATAGAAAAAAGCTATGTGATTTATGTTACATGAGCATTGTATTTAAGGCATTATTTTGCCCAGAATTTTTAATGCATTTTAAATGCATCTTCTGCTTTTTGTAATCTGTTCTTTTGAAAGAATAAACAGAGCAGTGATGTTTATTTAATGGAGTCATCCATCTTACTTCCTTGTACAAAATCCTGGCTTTCCAGCCCCAGCAGCCAGATCCCTGCAGTAGGCAGTGGGGTTGGAAATGGAGAGGTCTGCTGTTTACCAATGAGGCACAGATGAAAGGAAGACATGGGGCTTGAGATTTACCCGCAGCAGGATGCTATTTGAAGCCAGTAGGCAGCTGAGAACTGCTTAGTCCTGTCCAGTAAAGGATGGAGAGGAGAAACCCATGGGAGAAGTTCTGCAGGGAGTCATGCTGTGCAGAAAACAGCACTGGGATGGCTCAGTACACAACTACCCATACATACACAACTAAAAGTAGATGCCTACTTCACGTAAAACTGTAACTGCAGTTACCAGAGCAAACACTGCCCCCCTGCAGTATCACAGGGATGTAACAGTTTACAGCTTTCCTTTCAGACCCTCAATAAACCAGCTTTGTGAGCATTACAGCTTTGCAGAAATACCTAGCTGCAGAGCAGGGAAGATCTACTAACTCACACCTCAACTGTTTCTGGACATTGCTGTCTTAGTTTCCAGACTGACTGGCAGCAAGACCTCATCAAACAAAAACTTCTTCACAGCTACAAGGGTTGCAAATGTGAGTTTAAACATGCACTGATCACTGCAGAACAAAGTATTTCTAAGGGCAGTACAAGAGACACCAGTGAATATTCTGCTTACAAACTTAAGCCTGCTCCATTGGTCCACAGCTCATAGAGGAAATATGTCAGGATCCACAAATCAAAGACTGTAGATCCCAAGCACCAGGCAGTATACTGTACCCTCTCCCATCACCGGAGGACAGAATAATTAGTGGAGGTTGAAGAAGTCAGATCCTGAAATCTCCCTGAGAGTCCACCCAACCAACTGCCTAAGACCCTTCAACAATTTTACAGATTTTACCCAGGATCTTTCAAGATCTTTCCAAGTCAACACAGACAAACAAAAACAAACCACAGTCAGAAAGCCGTCAGTCCCATGCTGTTCACAGCCATCACAGTCACATGTGAAAGCAGGAGAGGCAAGATGGGCTCAGAGGCTTTGAGTAATGACCTGGCATCCCATGAGTGCAAACAGCAGTGCTGCAGTGCAAGATGATCTGAACGGTCAGCATGGCTGAGGATACAGACAACACTGTCATGAACCTAGTACTGCAGCAGTGGGGAAGCTGTTTCTCTTAAAAGGTCAACAGCATATCCTGAAAAACACACACAAGCTGAGCTGCTCTGAATGGAAGTGACATCTGTTAGTTTAGTGTGAGTTTTGAAGTCCTGTATCTCCCCCCCTCTCACCCCCCATCAAGCCCCATGGCACTTTCAGCCACTCATGTTTCAATCCCAGCTCTTGTCACACTGGAGCATGGACCAGAGTATTTCAGAAGCTGGTTACTGTGGTAACCCAGCTCAGCTTTTATCTTTGTTCCTTTCATCTCCTCTTTGGGGGAAACTGGCAATCTGTTTATTTGCCTTTTCTGACGAAGATCATTACACAGCACACCGTCAGGATCTGTGTAAGTCTGAGGACAGGACAAAGTACCTTTCACACAAATGCACGTGTAGATATTTTTCTCAGTGCTCTACTACCCTACCTCTTGCTTCCCTGCTTCCCTTTACAAGCTATTTGACGTGCCCTTTTCCATCTGACCCTCCATGTACAGCTTGTCTCTGGCCTTCTCCGGGCCTCCTCACTACCATGGTACTTACTAACAGGGCCAACAAGAGCAAATGGCTCCCCTGGGCTTTCTTGCATCCTTTATAGGAGCGTGGTAAGGCAGAAAGGACACTGGAATTCACAGTGAAGCGACTCAGCTCCCTGCAAAACAAAAGGCTGGGGGCAGGTTGGGCTATAGGCGACCCCCACACCCTGCCCTCTGCCAAGGGACCCCTCGCTTCCAGCAGGTCACAGGCAGCTGGAGGCCCCCACAAAGGGCTGCCTGGCTGCTGACACGCACCGAGAGACCTCTCTAACTGCTGCAGGGGAAAGAATAACGCAAGCCAGGGGGCGGCCACCAGAACCAGGACCAGGGTCAGGACTAGGACGTGGGTGAGGGCCAGGGCCAGAACGAGGACTGTGACCGGGGTCGGGGTCGGGGTCAGGGCCGGGGCCAGGGCCAGGACCAGGACGAGGGCCGGCGCCGGGGCCGGGCCCCCCCTCAGCCCGTGGCAATCCCTTCACCCCCCACCCGGCTCTTCCGCCCTCACCCATGATGGCCGCGCGGCACTCGCTGCCCACGTGACCCCGGCGGCACCGCCTACCGAGGCAGGGGGCGGTGGTTTCCCCGGCAACGGCTCCGGCGTCTTCCGCCGCCTCTCCCGCCTACGGCGAGCGACGAGCGGCAGAAGAGGCCGGCGCCGGGGGAAGGAGAAGCGCAACCTTGCCCTGCCATGGAGAGTCGGGGGCTGGTGAGGGCGGGCGGTGGCGGCCCCGCGACCGGAGTCCTGTCCCCCCGCTCACACCCAGCCCCGGGGCTCGCTCTCTCTGGCCGCGTCCAGCGCTGCCCCCAGGCGCCCTATCGCGGCCTCCTGCCCCCCCAGGCTCTCTGAGGGCTGCGGCCTACAGCCTTCTCCCCCCACGAAGCATCCAGGCCCACCCCCGTACCTCCTGGTCCCCAGGCATAACACCCGCCTTCCCCATTAAGGGGGAGGGCACAGGTCGGGCCCCCACTCCGGCGTGGCCCCGGTACCCTGCTTCAGGCGACGCAGGTGCAACTGGGAACCCCCATACCAGTGAACCCCCAAACTCCTGCCTCCACTGGCCTGGGGAGCATACAACATGCACTTCGAGTCCCCCTAAGAAATGCAGTCAGTAAGCAATGATCAGGCACAGGTTCACCCACTGCATAGGTCAGAAGGCGTGGGCCGGAGTTTAAATGGAGTTCCTGGGCTCGTGGGCAGAGTGTGTGGGTGGGACCAGCCACAGAAATTAAAGACTATTAGTGCTTCCTCTAGGAGGGGCGGCAACATATTTACAGAAGGATGCAGTAATGTGAGGCTACATGTTTAAAATGTTTTTTTGTTCTTTATTTGTTAAATAATTTAGCAAGAGCCCAACAATCATTCTGAATCTGAAGTAGAGGAATCTAGCATACCACCAGCTG